CCCCCCGCCCCGCTTCTAATTCACAAAGTATCAGGTAACCAAAAGCCAACTTGAGAAAATATTTGCTGTTATAAATTACCGTGACACCAACAAATCCCTTGTAGCTTTGGATATACTGTGCAATTTCCTCTGAGGATTTCTTACTTTGAAGAAATTCACATCTGTAATTGGTAAACAAGAGTAAACATCTCTCTCTCAAAAGTAAAAATAAACATTAAAAAAAAAAAGAAAAAAGAATCCAGCACTTAACCAACTGAGCCACCCAGGTGTCCCAACTGTTCTACTTTTGTATAAAATTTTCAACATCAGGGGCTCCTGGGTGGCTCAGTTGGTTAAGCATCCAATTCTTGGTTTGGGCTCCGGTCATGATCTCATGGTTCATAGGTTCAAGCCCCACATCGGGTTGTGTGCTGATGGCAGGGAGCCTGCTTGGGATTCTATCTCTCTGTCTCTCTCTGCCCCTCCCCTGCTCGCTATCTACCTCTCTCTCAAAAATAAATAAAAAAACGTTAAAATTTTTCAACATCAAAGTTAAAAAAAGGTTTAAGCAATAAATCCATATGTGGGAGATGTAAAGTCGTGTAGAAAATACTACTCAACATAGCATTAAAGATAATTGAAACATACTTCATTTTCTAAGCAGAGAACGAAACGTTGTAATCAAAACTTTTCAGTTTTTGAAATAAAACATTTGCATGAGGTATATATTCAGCAGTACATGTAACCATGTGTAGTAAGATTTTAAACATGGTGTTAGTTTCCAACTTCCTTTATACACTATTTTACATCATCCCCATGCAAATTATTCTTTATTAATTAAGGCAGATCTGGAACTACTTTGCCAAACAGATAGGATTCTGATATAATAAAAACAACCTTTAAGAAGTGGTTTTATAATGGAGCGCTTGCGGAGGCTCAGTTAGTTAAGTGTCCAACTCTTGGTTTCGGCTCAGATCATGATCTGAGGGTTGGTGACTTTGAACGCCATGACAGGCTCTGGGCTGTCAGCACAGAATTTTTGGGATTTCTCTCTTCCTCTCTCTACCCCTCCCCTGCTCACATGCATGACCATGCATGCGCTCTCTCTCAAAGAATAAACATTAAAAAAAGAAGTGATTTTATTTTATTTTTTATTTAATGAGAGAGAGAGTACAAGCAGGGGAGAGGGGCAGAGAGAGAGACAGAGACAGAGAGAGAATCTTAAGCAGGCTCCACGCTCAGTGTGGAGCCCAATGCGGGGCTCCAACACACAACCCAAGGATCATGACCTGAGCTGAAACCAAGAGATGGCCGCTCAACCGACTGAGCCATCCAGGTGCCCCAAAATGATTTTAAATGATACAATTCACATTTTCCACAAAGTAATCAAGCCTTTCTTGAATAAATTCTGAAATGTTCCAATATCGGATACTCTACTGAAGACTCTACTCCAGATGACTTGTCTTTTGCCTTACAACAACAACAACAACAACAAAAAACAAAGATAATTACAGGAAAAATATATTTATCTACTTACGTGGGGAACCACTTGGCATGTTCCTTCCAAGGATCGTCTCCCTCTTCCCAGTTTCCTAAACATCCACCACAGGAAAAACACTGCACAGTGTCCCGTTTACCTACATGCGAAGGACACATTTAGATCTCCCAGCAATGGCTCCATGGGGTAGGGCAGAAGACGGGGTAGGGCAGAAGACGAGTTTCCAGGAGCTGGTGCATGAGCAAAAGGCACTGCTGCATGTCTGTCTGTTCACACCCCCTGCAGGCTGAATCTCTACCCACACACAGCCCTGCTCCCCTAAGGGAGCAGTTAGGGTACCCTACCCCTCAGCCACAGCCCTACTTCACATACAGAACGGTCAGCTGCTCATGCACTCGCCCCAATTCCTTCCAAGGGCTGGTGTTTTGCTCTTTGAGCTCTCAGGGAAGGAGTCAGGAAACCAAGAAACACCAGCACTCATAAAGTAAGGTACCATTAGAAGCTGTAACTTGTAGTTCCACCATGAAGTTTCCGTGGAGACTTAAGCACATTTCTTAAACTCTTTGAGCCTAATAAACTCAACTGTGAGACGTGGGGAAGGGGCAAGTTGTTGGATTAGAATTAAGGCTGAATTTGAACTTAGCATCAAGCACATACTTAGTAAATGATTGCTGCTTTCAAAATTGTCATTCACACTTGTCCTAACATTTATGGCATGGCCAGGAGATTTCAAACATAGTGCAGTTTTCTAGAGTGCAATTCTCCCTATACATTAAAGTTAGCCTTAAAATTAAAGCAAACAACTCCCCCCCTCCCAATACTGCAGCCATTAAAAGAATTAAGGAAAGGGGCGCCTGGGTGGCTCAGTCCGTTAAGCATCTGACTTCGGCTCAGGTCATGATCTCACCGTCTGTGGGTTTGAGGCCCGCGTCAGGCTCTGTGCTGACAGCTTGGAGCCTGGAGCCTGCTTCAGATTCTGTGTCTCCCTCTCTTTGACCCTCCCCCGTTCATGCTCTGTCTCTCTCTGTCTCAAAAATAAACAAACATTAAAAAAAAAAAAAGGAATTAAAGATCATAGAAGAACCAGGGAACGGGTAAGAAAACTGTGGTCAGTTTGACTTCGTGATTTATTACGAGGGCAGTGAGAATGCAACCAGCATTGTCTGAGGTCCAAATTTAAGGAAAAGTAACTTCCTTACTTTATAATACATTTTGCAAATTAACTTGATGCTTTGTACAGTGTGTTCAAGTTACAAGGGTTCAATTTTAATAAAACACACCTTATGCCTCATGTAACTCATTTAACAACTGAGGAGAAGTTCACAGAATGTTCCAATTCCAACATGGGACCCAAACGCAAAACTCCAGAGAAATACTTCAGAAAAGGACTTAAAAAAAATTTTTTTTTAACGTTTATTTTTGAGGCAGAGAGAGACAGAGCATGAATGGGGGAGGGACAGATAGCGAGGGAGACACAGAATCG